ACTTGAAATAACATGGCCAATAGCTTCGCTTTCGTTTTCTTGGATACTTCCTTCCTTAGTTGGTACTCCAAATTTTAATGAGACTATAGAGTATTGTCTTTAGTCTGAGGAAAAATGTTATAAATAAATAAATAAATAAATTCGAGGAATATTTATATATCTTGTAACTTCTTATTAATCGATTGAGGATAATTGAGTAATTTCAATGCAAATGCAAATTGGTATAGTATATAGTACTGGTATAGTATAGCCATATAGTATTGGTATAGTATAGCCATATAGTATTGGTATAGTATATTGGTATAGTATTGATTGGCATAGCCCTAGTATAGGTGGAAAGAAGTTAAAAATAAATATATTTGAAGAAAGTTTATGTTATATATTTCCTATGCTTTTTCTTGACCAATCCACGTTAATTGATCAATTTTAACTATACAGCTTCTGTTATGGCGATTAAATCAGTTTCTAGCTGAAACTGGCTAACAAATGAGGTTAGCTTGGATTTCATTCAGTCTCCGTTTCGTATCACGTTATCATTTAATGAACTGTGTAATTTGTGTGAACAAACGACTGTGCTTGCTACGAATAATAAATATCGGTTCACGTGTCGGTAGAAAGATAATCGGTTCAACGATACCCACGATTGTTTTCGTCTTTCGGAAAAATTGAAGTCCCTTTATCAATTGGATCAATTCTGCCGGCCACACTGATTTTTCAAATCGATCGACTTTATCGAACGAAAAGGGGAAATTTATTTTAAATATATAAAAAATATACAAATTTAAAAAAATTAAACGATCGATATGTAAGAAAATTAAATTCTTTGGCACTAAAATTTGGAAATATTCAAAAAGCGGAATTAATCAGTGTGACCTGCAAACCATGCATATAATTGATGATCATTGAAAGTATATAATTACCAGTGAAGAGATATTCAATTAATTCGAAAATTTGGCTGATTTTACAAATGGAATTAATTTTATATAATTAATTTCACCTTGTTTCGTTGCTAATCTTCTGGATTAAATTAAATTTAGCTTCAATTAAAATACGTGTAACTCGAAAGCTTATTAGTAGATACACTTAAAATGACCCTAACCCGTGATGTATATACTTACAAACAGTCGTCGATTTATGTGATCTTTAGCCTAAACTAGAATCGTCTCGAGAAAGTAATAATTATTCTAATTAATGTAAAAGTGATAAAAAACGTAAATCATATTGACGAAATAAAAATATAAAATTTGATATACATATTGCAATTTGTAATTCGCAACTTCTTGTTATTCTTTTAATGAAAATAATAATTATTCTAATTAATGTAGAAATTATGAAAAACGTAAATCATAACGGTAAAATAAAAATATAGAATTTGATATACATATTGCAATTTGTAATTCGCAATTTTTTGTTATTCTTTTAATGAAATATTCAGTATTTACCGATTATTTCTCGATGTTATCGGTAATGTTATGCTGGCATATCGTTCTCGTGTAATTGTACAATCTGTTTATTGACTGGCTCAATTCTCGAATCGTGAATTAGCATTGACATCGATATCAAAACGATATTCTGCTTATGTGATTTCGCATAAATGTGTTCGTATAAGTGTTTTCATCGAGTTACTAAACACAAGAAAATTGCAATTACGTACATGAATAAATATACTTAGGTATTATAATTATATATCTGGAAATATCCAGGTATAAATATAAATATGATACGTGCAAGGTTTTCGTGCCAAATTTATCCAGCATTTCTTTATTTTTCAAACGGTGAGTATCTGAAAAAAACGTATTTAGTCAATACGATTGAAAATAAAATTTGTTTTAATTACATTAATTTTTATCAACTGGATACTCGAGTGAAAAGTTTAGAGTGGCATTTTTGTGTGCTTCTTTTCCATCAAATTCCTCTTTAATTCTAGAGCTATCGACCTGAAATATAATATAATTATATAGATATAATATAATACATAATTAATAATAATTATTATCTCAAGTAATGCAGTATAATATGATTATATTAATTATTAGGAATATTTAATTAAGTATAACATACCTTGCATTATAATTTAATTCTGAAAAATGTTGCAAGAAAAGAATAATAATGAAAGTGACATAATAAAAATAAAAAGAAATTAGACATTTATTTGAACATAGACCAATATTAATTTTGTCAAAAAAGGCTATGTATGTAAATAACTCCTCTGGTTCTACTATTAATCCCTAAAATTATAATTTAATTCTGAAAAATAATGCAAGTAAAGTATTTAATTTCAGTTAACCGCTATACCTTTGTTCCATTCGCGATAAAATTATACAAAAATCTTCGAATTTCTTCAAATTTTGCGAATGTTAATACTAAATCTACCACGACTCAAATGACCATTTTCAAATTTATTACTTAATATTCCACATTCAATTTTATCTTTTTGGTCACTTGACAGCGTGATTTCACTGTCAGTATACATCCAATTAATTCTTCCATATTTTGTCTTACTCCATTTATTTTAACATTCTTCTTTCTCTTTCGAATCCAAATGATCCATCAGTCATTCGATCGATCGTGGTCAGATAAGTGTTAAAACACATTAAATATAATTTTCTGCAGCATACATTTCCAATAATCTACGAGAACCTAAATTATACTCATTATCCTAGTGCAAAGGGTTATTAACACTATACCTACCAGGGCCGAAATGACCATTTCAAAACCCCCATTGAAAATTCTGCATTTGATTTACAACTACTCGATATTTATTCCAATATTCGTATAATCAATTTTCCAATGAATTTCTTATTTTATTTTATTATTTTAAGGTTCTATTTCTTTCTCATTCCCCGATCATTTGACCGTGGTGGGGTCAGTATTAAACTTAACGGAACGTAATAAAATCTAAGTCTCGAAACCGCTTCGTCAAATCCAAGAATCTAATCTAGAAAAGCAGAACATGCCTGGAATGTGCCAAGAATCCTCCATCCGAAGGTAGCAACTCTCTCAGATCTCCGAATCTCAGCTGCATATTTGCACGTTTAGGTGTCCGATTCGGCTGCTTGCACTCGGGAGACGGCGAAACGAGCAAAAGTGCAGTCGAGTCGCAAATCGCTGCTGCAATTGCTGGATCAGAAGAGACGAGCGTGTAGACCGGGTACGTGTGCACTCGCACGCAAATTAATGCAGTATAATATGATTATATTAATTATTAGGAATATTTAATTAAGTATAACATACCTTGCATTATAATTTAATTCTGAAAAATGTTGCAAGAAAAGAATAATAATGAAAGTGACATAATAAAAATAAAAAGAAATTAGACATTTATTTGAACATAGACCAATATTAATTTTGTCAAAAAAGGCTATGTATGTAAATAACTCCTCTGGTTCTACTATTAATCCCTAAAATTATAATTTAATTCTGAAAAATAATGCAAGTAAAGTATTTAATTTCAGTTAACCGCTATACCTTTGTTCCATTCGCGATAAAATTATACAAAAATCTTCGAATTTCTTCAAATTTTGCGAATGTTAATACTAAATCTACCACGACTCAAATGACCATTTTCAAATTTATTACTTAATATTCCACATTCAATTTTATCTTTTTGGTCACTTGACAGCGTGATTTCACTGTCAGTATACATCCAATTAATTCTTCCATATTTTGTCTTACTCCATTTATTTTAACATTCTTCTTTCTCTTTCGAATCCAAATGATCCATCAGTCATTCGATCGATCGTGGTCAGATAAGTGTTAAAACACATTAAATATAATTTTCTGCAGCATACATTTCCAATAATCTACGAGAACCTAAATTATACTCATTATCCTAGTGCAAAGGGTTATTAACACTATACCTACCAGGGCCGAAATGACCATTTCAAAACCCCCATTGAAAATTCTGCATTTGATTTACAACTACTCGATATTTATTCCAATATTCGTATAATCAATTTTCCAATGAATTTCTTATTTTATTTTATTATTTTAAGGTTCTATTTCTTTCTCATTCCCCGATCATTTGACCGTGGTGGGGTCAGTATTAAACTTAACGGAACGTAATAAAATCTAAGTCTCGAAACCGCTTCGTCAAATCCAAGAATCTAATCTAGAAAAGCAGAACATGCCTGGAATGTGCCAAGAATCCTCCATCCGAAGGTAGCAACTCTCTCAGATCTCCGAATCTCAGCTGCATATTTGCACGTTTAGGTGTCCGATTCGGCTGCTTGCACTCGGGAGACGGCGAAACGAGCAAAAGTGCAGTCGAGTCGCAAATCGCTGCTGCAATTGCTGGATCAGAAGAGACGAGCGTGTAGACCGGGTACGTGTGCACTCGCACGCAACGAGCCAAAGGACGATACTCCGCGGCTGAGTTAACCGCGGCGCGATCAGCTGAAAAATTCGATAAGCCCTGAAACGACCGACTGTTTCTACTCTTGCCTGTCAGGTCGATGGATCAGTAGCTGTTCGTGCTTCGCGCAGCGTAAACGCTGCTTCTCTATCTTCTCACGTCCAGTCCACTCGTCTTTCAGCTGTCGCCTTCGTTGCATTTAGTCGTCGAATTGTCATCGTCGACGAATTTTTCAAAATTGACTAGCTTGCGTATAGTTGTTGAGAAGTTTCAACTGAGTTTAAATCGAATCGATTGGTTTTTCAAGTTTCGTTGCTGAGTTGAGTTGGATTTTGAATCATCGTTGCTGATTTGAAACTAAATCGATTGGTTTTTGAATTTCTTGCTGTTGAGTTGCGTTGAGTTGGATTTGGAATCATCGTTGCTGAATTGAGTTGGATTTCGAATTATCGTTGCTGAGTTAAGTTGAATTTTGAAGTATCGTTGCTAATTTTATATTGATTCGATTGCCTTTTGAATTTCTTGTTGCTGAGTTGAGTTGAGTTGGGTTGGATTTTAAATTTTTGTTGCTGAGTTGAGATAGATTGTGAATCATCGTTCTCGTTGAGTAAAATCTTAAAACGATTTATTCAAAAATTTATTTAATTACCAATAATCATCGGCATTAAACGTCAAAGCGATCCATCAAAAATTCGTGCTACTGGAAAAATAATTTAATTTGAAACCCTCGAATCATGTGCAAATCTTCGTAATTCTTCATCAATTTTCCAAACAATTTGTTTGTAAACGCCAATTGCAAAAACTCTGTCTCCTAACTATCGACATCGAATCGACCGTGACAAAAATCCTCGAAGTCGAACCAAACGATTCGTAGCAGAAGAAAAAGACAAAGTAAATAAAAGAAGTTATTCCGGTCGAGCCGAGTGTCTTCGATCTTGGTCTCGTCAGTCAGACGGTTTCGAGCTGTCTGTTCAAACGTCGGGTTACTCGGTGTAAATTATCGTACCATTTCTCGGCTGAATTCCCACCGATGGTATTTTTATGAAATCCCCATGGAATTGGGGTTCGTCGAGGTTTATTGAATACCAGATGACGGATCGTTGAACGAGTGACGAGAATACAGGATGGAGCAAGAAACCGTGACCGTGGAGCAACTCGCCCCGAACGAGAATGCCAATGAGACTATGGGGGATCCAAGGAAACAAGGTACGTGCTGAATCGATCTTATGTCGACATTGATATCGCTACCCTTAAAGGGAAAACTTTTATCCTGACCAATAAGAATCAGTTCTCGAAGTTTCTTTCTTTTTCCCTGTGAGAAAGGGAATGATTATGGTAGACACGAAGTATAATGGAAATGAAGCTTCCAGACAATTATTCAAAATTCGGTTATATTAGCGTGAAATAATTATTTATCGTGGACAATAAGGATTGATTGCCGAAATTTTTATTTTAAAAGAAAGCTAATGGTCATAGTAGATAGAATAAAATATGATTAGAAAGAAACTCCGAAATAATTATTAAAAATTTAGTTATTGTAAAATAATCTTTTTGTACGAGCAATGAAGATTAATTAAAAAAATTTTCGATAGATAGAGTAAAATATAAGCAAAATGTAGCTTCGAAACAATTATTTAATAATTGTTTATTTGTAACTAATAAAAATTAATTCCTGAATTTCTTTTTAAGAAGGAAATGAATTTTTATTTATATTGGACAGTCATTCGATAATTGTTTTGTATAAAATAATTGTTTATAGTGCTTAATAAGAATCAATTGCAGAATTGTTTTAGCAAGGAAGCGAATTTTTATATTTATCGAACAATTATTTAATAATTGTTTATCGTGACCAGTAAGAATTAATTCCTGAATCTTTCTTGTTGAAAAAGAAGCAATTATGGTAGATAGAATGAAGAATAATCGAAATGAAGCATGGAATATATTGGAAAGAAAGCTTGTTCTTTGTTATAAGAAAAGTATCGTGTTTTTCCAGGAATAAGGTTCATGGAGCCTAAAAAAAATGAGATACGTGATATGATCACGAACAAATTGCAGCAACAATTCCAGGTGAGAAAAATTGAATTATGATGAATGGACTTAAATACAATATAATTGATTTATATTAATTTGCAATCAGTACTAATTATAATACACTTTTTCATACTAAAATTATCAGCCTTTTTGTATTAAAATATAATTAATAATAATAAGTGTTATGATAGCAGTAAATAAAAGTTAACATTAACTTTGCCAAAAGCAACTGCACATTTTCAGTAATTAACAGTTGAAGAAATCTGAAAATAATCATTTCAACCATTTAATAATTCTATCATTAATATATCCTTTAAGGAATTTTGAGAGCAAGTGAACTTTTTTAATTTTTTAAAAATCAAATAAATCTTCTAATTCTTATTTACGCTAATTTTCGTAATTAATTCGTTATGGACAGTCTAATGAACGTAAAAATTAATTCATTTTATACTAATCAAAATGGTGTTAGATTTTCTTATCACCGAATCATTTTGACTGACAATGAGTAAATAAGATTGACCAATAATCGACATACACGGTTATTTTTCCATCTGTGTCTGTCATGAAGTCATTAAACGATAAATTGGGAACATTATTCGTGCGAATTGATCAATTGCTTGACACGATGGGACAAACAAAAAGGTATCAGCTAAATATTGTTGCTTTTTCTGTAGGAAATCAGGCAAGATATTCTGGAGGTTGTTAACATCCAAATAAACGACATGATATCGGAAATAGCTGAGAAAATGGCATCCAGCGAGTTGAAAGATCTGGTTGACTCAGAGAAATACTCCAACAGAACGTAATTATACAATCACTCATAAACCTTGATATTACATACTCCTATCCTCGCGTTACTTTCGATTTATACCGCTATGTTTTATGCTAAAGTTTATGCTAGCTCCGGTTATCTGTTTCTAAGAAAGGGATGACTACGATCATAGAAATTTTATTTCATTTTTATTATTCACTACGATATTTCGTCTTCCTCTTTTCAATGAGTATTCAACTTTATTTTGCGAAGTTTAAACTTAGAATATTCTTACTAAAAAAAAAAATTAATAATATTAGGAAATTTGTGTTCGATAAAGTTAATTACGAAGTCACAAATTTAAAATTTTCCAAAAATTCTGATATCAAAAAAACAAAAATATAATTTGCAATGAACTTTTTAATTTAATTTAATTACGAATTGGAAGAAAGAAAATTAAATATTATTTAAATTGAATTAAATTTCAAAACTTTTTAACGAGAATGTTCTGTTACATACGAATTCAAAGGATTCGAATTTTAAATTGATTAAATCGAATTTAATACCAGAGAATTTAATATTAAACAATTTAATTACTATCACGAGTGCAAAAATTAAAAATTTGATACGAAGAAATTTTCTACATTTGGAGGATTAATTTTGTACTTAATTCTTCGAATTCGAAGAATGGATGTATCAATTCTAATTCTGTTTCAATTGCGTAAATTTTAAAGAAACTAAAAAATTGTTTAATCGATCGCGTTTTAAGTTAGTGTGCACACCGACGAGAACAAAATTTATTTGAACGATACCGAATGACGAAGGGAGCAAAATAATTCTTCTTAAGCAATATAGGTAGCAATCTTTGGATGAGTAATTCTCACGAACGTTTGGCTCTAAAGCAAACCTGACACGAAGAACGTTCGAGTACACGCGCACTTAACCGCTTTGACCCGATTCAACGAACCTATTCTAATGTAAACGTATTCTAATATGCAAAAAACAATAACATCGACAAAAAGAAAAAATTGTCGAAGAGTGAAGAACAGGACCTTCATAAATATTTTTAAAATATTCTACAATTAAATATTCTTCGATTATTTATATAAATACAGATAATTAAATCCGTTAAGTTTAACATTTTAATAATTAATTTGCAATCTTGATAAATACTCAAAAATAGATTTCAACGTTTGCAGAAATTATTAAGTTAATGAAATTAAAAAATTGGAGGTGTAATCCTGTAATATAAAAAATCATAGTAACACTTGAAGTTTTGAAAAATATAATTATCTGTTTAATTTAAGTAGCTATTTAATATTATATAGGTAATACAATGTTTAAAAGAATATTATAAATTGCGTTTTCGGAGATTAATGGGATAAAAGAATTAAGAGATAGACGATAAAATTATATTTCCTCCTGTTATCATAATTTTGTATATGTGTTATGAACGCACGATAAAAGTCAGAAAGTTGTGATACGTTGTTCGTGAGTGCACGTGCACTCGAGTAGCAAAATTGTTTTCGATTTTCAACTAGCTCTACCATTTAAATTCATTTTTATTTCACGAGATATTATTTGATTTTAAATATTAATTTTTATTCCATAGTATTTCAATTTTATTTTTCATTTTATTTTTAACACTATCCTATTTTAATGCGATATAAATCATCTGCCAACAAATAAAATCGAACCTCGTATTAACAACAAAATTGAAACAACTTCTGACACCATATTGATACAATAATTCGCGTTAGAGTAAATTAAAAAACATAAAAATCAACAATGTCGTAAATATATTTTTATCGCAGAATTTTTATTGCATAAAATACTACTCAATTTTAAATATTAATTTTTCTTCCATCCTATTTCAATTTCTCTTTTCTTTCTTGACACTGCCCTACTTTAATTCAATGTAAATCACCTAACAAATAAAATTAAACCTCATATTAATAACAAAATTGGAACAATTTCTAGTACACCATATTGATAGAATAATTCGCGTTAGAGCAAATTAAAAGATATAAAAATCAACGATGTGGTAAATACATTTTTATCGCGGATAAATTAACGTTGAAGATAATTATTTATACACTGATTAATCTCCTTCGTTACTTTCCATAGGAAGCCAACAAGAGGAAACACTTTGCCAACGAAGCAATTTCTCCAGAGAAATTCTCTATTAACCGATCTGTACGAGATCAAACATATTCGCACAATTTATAACCTCATCGTGTCAACACTGATAATTCTTTTAATACACACAGCTGTGTACGATATTCGACACACTGGCTCGTAAGTACACACATACTTGTCGCAACAATCTATCTATATATCGTCATCAAATTTGCTAAAATTGATAACCACCTAAACAATTATTCAAAAAGATTTATAAAATCAGCGTTTGGAAGATAAGACACAAAAATTATATTTATTAAAAATGGAAAGATAAAAGACTTTAACCTCTTCAGAAATACTGGCACATGTGTGTATATAAATTTTTTTTTTTAATTATGATTATTATAAGTGAAAAGAAAATTAGTATCATAATTGGAAAACTGTTCACCATATAGAATCCCTTAACAATAAAATAAAAATTTGGTCGAATATCATTGCTAATAAATTCTACTTTATAAGCACTGCTTTGAAATTATTTTAACGTTAAAATGATTAAATTTTTTCCAATTTCCAAAAGATTCGTCCCTGAAGAGGTTAAGGATATAAATATTCGATTTGGAAATATTTCAGGATATCTTATTTTATTTGAGAAGATAAAATATTTAGGAACCTTCGACTAACTGTATTATGATTGGATGTAATTGAGCATAATTCGTTCTTTCAGACCTAATCTCGGCATCGACACAGTGATGATTGGCTTTGCCAAGTTTCCAGTGGTGCTTTATGTCTGGTGCTTGATGAAGCTTTCAGTTCTAGGAGTTTATACTGCTTTCTGTCTTTGGGCCACTCGTCGTCTCGAGTATTCTCCTCAATGTAAGTCGATTTCGATTAGCTTCTTCGCGTCTGGAGGTGAGCTATGAAATTCTAATAGACCTCGAGATGTTGACCCCGATGAATTCGTTCTTGCAGCGGTGTCTAGAAAAATTTGGGACTATTCGTGGTTGGCAGCCATCATCCTCTATCAGGCGCTGTTATTCGTTCTGCCTACCAAAGCTGTGCTTGACAACCACTTGCCATTAGCTTCTACTATGATCATCCTTATGGAGCAAGTGAGTATCTCTGTAAATAATATCGATGAGGAATATTGCGTGATTAACACTGAAATTAATGATAGCATTAGCATAAATTAATGAAAATAACTGACACTGAATAAAATTTTGATTTCTGCAGTTACACAAAATGTATAGGGATATTTTAAGGAAATTAATATTGGCTTCTATTTATTTATTTTTATTGAATCATTTTAATGATCGTTGTCTGTGTATAGTGTGTCTATGTATAGGATTTAGGTCGGTTCTAAAAATTACAAACGGAAATATGATAATTGATGTTCACTTTCATTTTTATCCTGTTGTCGACATAGACGACTTGTAAAAGATACCGTTTTGGATTATCGTATTAAAGCAATGAGAAAATTATGGATTATGTACATTACTCGGCTTAGCTGCGATTAACTTCACTCAGACGTAAATTGCTAGTCTGCTGAAACTTTTGGATCGGGGTAAATTAAGATCAAATTAGAGAAAGATGAATGAAACTCTCGTTGAAGATGTTAAAGTAAAGGATTTTCATAGGAGAATAAATTATTATTATTATAAATTAATAAATTTACTATAAATTAATTGAAAGTTTATCTGGAACCAGAAAAAGATTGGTGATAAAAAGTTTATCATTAAATAAAAAAGATACGAAGTTATTTAAATTGAAATTGTATAAGTTATCATTAAATGAGAATTCTAAAATTCTAAGATTCTAAGATTCTAAGATTCTAAAATTCTAAAATTCTAAAATTCTGAGATTTTAAGATTCCAAAATTAATAATTCTAAAATCTTAAGATTCTAAAATTCTAAAATTCTAAAATACTGGGATTCTAAGATTCCAAAACAAATAATTATAAAATCTTAAGATTCTAAAATTCTGAGATTCTAAGATTCCAAAATTAATAATTTAAAAATTAAAAAATTCTAAGATTCTAAAATTCTAAAATTCTGAAATTCTGAAATTCTAAGATTCTAAGATTCTAAAATTCTGAGATTCTAAGATTCTACGGTTCTAAAATTCTAAAATTCTAAAATTCTAAGAGTTTAAGATTTCCGAATTTTTAAACTCCAAAATTCTAAAACTCTACAACTCTAAAATTCTAAAATTCTTAATTTATTCTCGTTTCTTTGCTTTCTGTCGACAACGTTTATTCTGAAATAGATCTTGCGAATTAATGGTAAAAAAGTGATCTCTAAACGCTTCTTTTTACATTTCTTAGATCCGATTAGTGATGAAGACTCATGCCTTCGTTAGAAGCGTGGCACCAAGATTTTTGTCGTACAAACCCCATTCAGACACATCACCACCACAGCCTCCTGGCTTCTCCCAATATCTCTATTTCCTGTTTGCACCGACTCTGATTTACCAAGACAGATACCCTAGGTAAGTCTAAAACGCTATATCAAAACTCGAAATTTGTAACTTTTTTAAATAAAATATCTACACAGTGGTCCACATTGGTCAGCTGATTCAAAATATTTTTGTTCTATATGACATGGTTCAAGGAGAATTCTAAAATAATTATACTAAATTTTGTATCAATTCTTTTTCCTAGAGTATTCAGAAAATCACCTTTAGCTTTTTATACTAAACCTAAAATTATTTTATATTTCACCTTTCAGACAATACCGATTATGACATGAATTCGACAAGTATCATAACAATTCTTTTTATTCAAATCAAAGAAACATTGTAAAATTTATTTTTAACCTTAATTTATCTTTCTGATATTTTTATTCAATTTCGTTTTAGAGATATTTATCTTGACTAAAAAGCTGAAGATATTTCTTCGAATTATATTATATAATATTAAACAAAAAAATGTTTTACTGTATCTAACAACGTAATAATCTAAGCTGATCATGTTTCGTGCTCTACTCTGTATAATATTTTCTTTTATATCTGTACATTTATATCTAAAATATATTCGCATATCTATACTTAATAAATAATCTTATTTACATCTATTATCCTATCTTGTCAAAATGATAAATCAAATCAAGACACGTATAACGACATAAAGAAATATTATATCTTTCGAGATATCATTTTAACATTCATTACTGTGTTTATAAAGATGTTGGATTATATTACTCAATAATTTTCTCTCTCCCCCTCTCTCTCTGTTTAAATATCTCTCGAGATAATACAAATGGTATTTTTGTATTATTAATGACATTAAGCTAGATATTATCAATGTTTTAAGCACTCTATTAAAAAGAACATCAGTATTTTGCTATTTTCGTAACATTTCCATTCGTTCTTATCCTTCTGTACAAGATAAAGATTCAAAATATCGAAAGATACGATCGAAGACGTACATGTAGACATAATCAGAGTCGTATTTATTTATAAACATCTCAATCTCGTATTATATACTTTACTTCGTTATATAGATACATAAATAAAATATCCATTTCAAAAATAATTTATTAAATAATCGAATAGAATAGAAAGTAAAGAAAATATAATAGAATATAATTTATAAAGAATCGAATTTTGCTTAACTTATTCGGAAAAATTTTCTTGAAATTATTATTCAATCAAAAAGAGGATTTCTGAAAATAAATAAATAACAAATGTACAAACAAATAACAAATTCAGAGTGAAATTCTAACAAATTTTCGGATCCTAAATCTTCGATCTAAGTTACTTTAAACTACACCAAACTCGAATCATCGTGATTTATAAATACAAAGAGAGGCAGCCATATTGAACGAACCAAGGAAATTATGGTCACTTAAGTGCACGTGTACTTAATGGTACACAGTCTTTAACGAATACATTTCGTTTTGTGTGTTAGATGTACTCTTATACTCTTTATACTCTTATATAATCATATTCTTTGTCGTTATATTTGGATGTTAAAAATTTCGAAAATAATATGCAATGTAATTTTATTCTATTTTACTTATTTATAAAATACTCTAAGCTTGTATTGCATTGTTTAGAGCGCAGAGGATTCGATGGAACATCGTTCTGACTAATTTCATTGAAGTACTAACGATCATCTTCTTCGTGGCACTTCTCTACGAGCGATTATTGTACCCGAACTTTCGGGATTTTGGAAAACAACCTATAGAGTGGGGAACCCTGACGCTTAATATTCTGAGCTCGATGCTACCCGGAATTCTTATGTTCCTTTGTGGCTTTTATCTTCTCCTACACTCCTGGATGAACGCCTTCGCTGAACTGTTGCGATTTGCTGACAAAATGTTTTACCAAGTAAGCTTAAATTTAATATAACTCATAATTCTCACTAATTTCTTCTTAAATCAAAGTTGATAAAATAAATAAAACTTCCTTTTATTTATCTATCCCCAGAATTAAACGTTTAATAAATTTAACATTTGAAATAAAATAAATATAACATTCTATAGGATCTTATCGTTCCCTAATTAAATGTAACGAAAGTAAAAATTAATATATATTTTTTTAATTAAAAATTATCCTCCCAATTGCTATAATAGGCAGTCATTAGGGAAACATACTTATTTAAAATTATGATACAAAGAAAACACAAGACTCGTTTAACTCCATTAAGTTAATTATTATTAATAACTCGCTTCATAATTAGTTCCAGTTATATATTTAACAAATGAGCGTTTAAATTAAAAAAGTATATGAAAGTTTACAGAGGGACAAATAACAGCCCATGGTAAAAGTTTTATACACACTTGTACAATGCTAGCCAACTTTCACTTGATACATACCTACCCAATTAAAACCTCATTCAAGTTTTGAAGCGAGCAAGTTACCAAATAATTCCTTCCTGCAAAAGCTAATTTCCAAAACGATCTGTAAACCAAAAAATTCCTATTCTTTAACCATTCACCTCAATTACCATATAACCATCCTCCCACTATACTATAACACGTAATAACACGTAGAAAAATTTCACCATTGATTAACCATCAACGTCACAGCCACTCACAGCTGCCAAAGATTGCCTCAGCCTATGACACATGCTACAAACAAAACACTGGCAACAAAAAGCGAGCACATCCTCCAAATTCCATTTCTCAAAACCACACAGCAAACCATAAACGCTCTGAGAATGAGAAAAATTCCTCAGCTTCCTGTCATCGAAGTCGTTGCTCGAGTCCTCTCTACGTGGCTATTTCATCACAGCATCTTCCAATCTGTGGAGACACGTATCACGACTTTCATACCGTTCTATAGAACGTTTATCGCCTCAAGGACTCGCGTCATACCCAGTTCGATGACGAAACGCAGGTTATATCACTCTGATCGAATTGCAGGATTGGTGGAACTCGATCTGCTACAGCACCTACTATCGCACCTGGAACATCGTGGTCCACGACTGGCTGTACACCTACATCTACAAAGACATGTACGAGATCGTGACGCCCAGGAACAAGAAGCTATCTGTCTGCGTGGTCTTCGCTGTTTCGTCTATCATCCACGAGTACATAATCAGCTTCGCCACCGGCTTCTTCTATCCTGTGCTACTGTTCTTGTTCGGTGGGCTAGGGCTGATCGTGGTATTCGTATTGAAATCGGCAGGGAACGTGTTCCTCTGGTTCAGCCTGAGCGTAGGCAACGGAGTGATAGTCAGCCTGTACTGCATGGAGTATTACGCCAGGATCAACTGTCCACAGACTCGTGGCGATTTCTGGGACCTCGTGATCCCGAGGACTTGGTCGTGTGTCTACAATGAGGAAGGATTGAGAGAAGCACTGTGAAAGCCACGTTTGTGTTTGACACGAATAGAAAGTTTCAGTTGTGGGTACCTCTGTATACTTGTATGCATGACGGGAAGCATTGGCGTGGATCGGGGAAGCTGATCCATGCAAGCATTCGTGTATATCAAAGTGTATGCTCGATACTCCAAGGTCGTTTAAAGAATCTAGATTTAAATCACTAAGGAATGGTCGTTGTTAGTGTGGCGAATATCGGAAATGTTTGGAAAGGAAGTTTGGAGATTGGAATACTCACTGCGAACAGTATTTCGGTCTGATAGGTAGGCTAGTAGACGAATTCGGTACGTTTCTATGAGTAAGACAATCGAAGAGTACTCGTCTGTTATGTATATGATATTAAAATAAGTCAGATTTATGAATTATGCGAAACGAGAGGATGCAAGCGGAAAATAACATATTTTGATAAACGAGAAAAAATATTTAATTTATTTTATAAAATATCCGCTAAAGAAGAGACTTAAGTTTTTAAGGATTTCGAAGAAATTCCAGAAATTTTGATATAAGGATAAGAGAATAATCAGAAAAATATTGTAATAATAAATGATACGAAGATATAGTAATTTTCTAAAAGAAAATAATAATTTCCTGTGTTAGGTATCAATGTATAGATACATTAAGTAGTGAAATAAACAATTATTATTTATTTTCTCATTTTCTTCTACCCTAATTATAATTCTATAATTTGGATAACAATAATAATTGAAATTATAATAATTACAATAAAGTAGTGTCACAAAAAATAAGAATTTAATTACATTTCCATTTAAATAAAAGTCAAAGTTAATTTCACCACAATTAGCTGAATACTTCGAATAACTCCAAAAATCGAAAACTTTTAAAATAATAATTCTCATTACTTTCGTAATTTTAGAATTAAATTGAATTCGAGGAAACGTGGATGACAATTATTTTCAAACCCTTTAAGTACCAATATATCCAATAATCTTCGTGTAACCTACAGCTAGAAGATATTGGTTCTTCGAGTTAAATTTTGAGTGAAAATTTGCTATACCATCGAGTTCAGTGACACAGGGAGTGTAATTTTCAAGAGACGAAGGCACCAGTGGAATCTGTCATTCCGGAAGAGTGACATGCACTATCAAAGCTAGTGTCACTGCAGCCAATAACAATAGAGGCATTATATTTTTGCACTGATATATTGCTCCGTGAGATGATAGGTCAAGTCTAAACCCCTCATTGTTCAATTCTCCTCTCTCTTGCCGAAAATAATCTTACTTTATTATAACATAAATAATCATAATCATAAAATACGCGACAAAATCGTGTCTTTTGAATTTTTAACTTAGACCACTTTCATAATTACTGACACATTTCAAAAAATAAATTAACGTACTACTTTAATACTAATAATAAGATTAAAGAAACAAATTAAATTATATATCTAAAATAAAAATTATAGTACAATTATAACATAATTACGGTAATTAACCCCTTACCCTACGATTTAAGTCCCAATGGCACGTTTCATAATCAGCAACAGAGTCGGTCATATGTGTAGCCATTTTATCCGAACTCAAGTGATGAATAACACATAATGTACACAGGAAGACATCGGTGAGAACTAACCACGAACCTGACCTATGGTGTTTACATTGGACTCCATCTGCAAACCACAGCTGTCAACCATAATACTCGTGTTTGACCCGATTTTCTTACGAGTCTCACACGATATTGTGGGCGAAGGGGTTAAATAAAAATGATAGTGAAAATTGGAAAAGTTAATTGGTATATTTTTATACTATACTCTATAACAAGTTGGTCTTTGAATATATAGACTGAATTATAAATATCGAACTTAAGTTCGAGTGAGAGAGATCTGAGTTTCATGACAAGATTAGTATCATTCCTGTGTGATTGGGTTCTAAGATGATTCTTTGGTGACTTCCTGCATTGGTCTCTTAGAATTCTAACGATCGAGCTTTGGAAAATTAATTCTATCGTTCGTGTAGACGTAAAAATCCTTTGAACACATTGATAAGTCCCCACTGAATTAAGAGTTGACAAGCGATCACGTTTGTTATTAACATTCTCTGTGAAGGTGCGTTTCTAGGTCGACGAGGAAAGAAGTATGACATTTTCCTTTCCGAAATCTATTCTGGATTTTCAAAAATAATGACAATAATTGATGAAGGATCTATTGATAAAGGATATTCTCTTTACTGCTGACTAAACGCTCAACACATGGTTTTTATTATCAAGGCTTACATACGTGTCCCGAGGTTTCCAGCGTGTATTCGAAGACACTCGTCGTCGATAAAGATAATTATATATACTTTATAATCATATGTATATATCTTCTTCTTCTCTATACAGGTCGATGCTTAAATGTACATACACGCGCTAATACAGTTACATTTATACACAGGTTCCATCATAGATTTGTATCTCCATTTCTTCTTTCTTCTTCCGCATATACGTATCATAGAGAAATAAACATATCCCGTGAGTTCCATAAAATTCTTCCAAGTCACACGCGGCGTCTTCACGGTGCATTGTTACATTATATCTGAAATTTTATAGTCGCTGCGTCTTCGGTTTTCCAACCGGAAATTCATCCACCTCCGAGGAAAGTGAAAACGTTCCAATTTGTAAACCGGAGGAATTTTAATAGCAAACGTTACAAAATGGGGATTGCCCGGATTTAAAAAAGGTATATATAACAGCGCGCGAAAGTGTGCAATAGTACAAGGCTTAATAATTCGCTTATCGTCTCTATCGAAAATAGAAGACAAAAGATTTCAAACATTCAAAGCTAAGATTCAATTGTTATTTTCTTTCCCTTTTTTTCTTTCACAACTGACGCGCAGTCTGGCAGATCGTGACGCGAAATATTCGTAATTCGAACGAAGAAAGGATAAACCTAACGTAGAAAATATTCTTCCATGGAGTAGAAAACGGGGTTCGTTCCTTGCACGGGTTCAAATAAATAATTATAAAAGATAATCGTGGCTAACCGTTTCTCTTGTTTCTTCCTATTTCTTCTTCCCTCCATTTTTGCCTTCGGTTCGCGTCGTCGATCCAATTTAATTTCGACATTCGTCAGCTATTCGTCGCATATCTTCCATTTTCTCCTTTATTACAGCACCGTTTACGCAACGTAAACGCGTTCTAGTTCTATGTACACCATCGTGAGTATTGAAAAAATAAACCATATTCTTCCCTCGGGAGCACCGGACAATTTCCTCTTCAAGAAACGTATCCTCCATCTCGCCACCATTTTCGCAACTTCATCCAGTCGAGCGATATATTGTCAACGATACGGTACTCCCGCTTGAAAATACAATTTTCGTGGAATTTACACGTGGAAAGTGATCGCACGTCGTTACGTTCATTCATTTCTTAACCATCCATCACTCTGACTCTCACTTTTCCTCTAATATTTCTTAATCATCGGCAACAGACGTATAACTCGCTTATTTTATTCATATAACTTCCGCGTCTGTTCTAAATCTTTGATTTAAACATCGAACAAACACGTCGGTCGACACTTCGACGTTTATTCGATCCTTAAACCTAAACACATTTGCCTAATTTGTACAAAGACAACGCGTCCATTTCCTTAAGACCAGAACTGCAATCCTTTGGTGAACACAAGCGTTATATTCTCGGCTTCGAGAGGCTCGAATTACGTTCACGCTGTATAAATACTATTACCGACAGAACCTACATGAAACGCGGCATTAAATTCGAATGGAGAAGAGCATGCGACAATTTAGAAATCAATCCAAACCTCCCGTTCACTCGGTAGTTCCGCGAAGTGATCGGCGCCATATTGGAACTAGATGGCGCTAGTAGGAAGCATCGAAACGCAAAGGATTAGAGCTCCATCTTGGAAAATCTCCGTTTCTCTTTCCTTCTTTTCCTTTTACCTCTACTTGGCACTTGGTACCTACTATCTTTTCTCTACCGTTTACTTCCCGCGATTCATTTTCTCCATCACGTTTAGCTAAGACACTGAGGACACTGCGAGAATTGTCGGGTTGAGGAAGTAATCGATCCCAGTGAAATCTGTGAAATTGTTCGCAAAGAACCTTCAATAAGCTCGGCGTGTTTTTATCCTTCTCATAATTTCCATCATTGCGACGTGTCCTCCGATGCTTCGATCGTTCCATCATTTACTTTCATGCGAAATCCCAATCATCCTAAAATATCTCTTCCTCGCGGAACGAAACATCCTGATAAACGAGACTCCCGCGGTTACGATGGTTCTCGCAAAGTTGCATTATTATAAAATTGATACGCGATTATTGATCTTCGATGCATTGGGAAACGTTCGATTTTTTCAATTTTTTTTCTCCTTTTTCTCCTTTTTTTTTTAATGAATATTCGCGCGGTTGCTCGAAACGTGGAAATAACTTTTGCGATATCGAAGCACTGATTTTCTTCGTTGTACATCGCCGAAGAACACTGGTACGAGAAAGGAGCGAGTACAAGAACAGGAAGGTAAGGATAAAGGACTCGATAATTGGCTATATAGTCTCCCTTTCTCACGTCGGCTTTCGGCTTCTCGTCGAACGAAATTTCCCCATATCCATGGTGTTCCCAAAATGGCATGTCCCACGTGACAAGATTTATTCCAATACCGATATAAAATTATGATTTTTGAAATATCTTTCTCGTCCGATCAGTAAAGATCTCGGGCACGTGAGATACACCAGTCAAGGAACACCCTATATATTAAATACCGTATGCCCATTCCACGGTGCCCTTATAAATATTGTCCAACATGGATTTCTATCGAAAATAACTCGTTATGTACTTGTCTATATTGTACCTTACATGTCGCGACCATTTGCTATATCTCTCACTCTTTCGCACATACACACGCACTCTTTTTCTCTTTCTTAGAAATCTATAAACAATCATTTTATTGCTAGCCTCGAGTCCTCCTATCACGGCATACGAATTTTATTTATAATAATAAATCACTTTAATACACGCAGCTTGAATATTAGCTTTGCGTCTCTGCAAGGAATCTTTACTCCAAGTTCCTCGTTTCAATTTCTTCCATTTTTTTTTTTTCTTTTTTTGAGTTTCTTCCTTTTTTTACGCGTATAAGAAAATTGAACTGGCTGAAGATTCGCATACGGAGACGAAAACCAGGTTTATATTCGGCAGGACATTTCAGGAGAAGTGAAAAGTCTCAACAATATACAGGGTGTCCCTCCAAAACCCATCGAGTGCTCGCCTAAACGCGTAACGTGCTGGAAAATATATTTCAGAACATACATGTACTTTTATCACTTGTAAACTCGCGATAATAAATTTGCTAGCTTGGATTATCTCGTAAAGACGTTTCCATGATTGATTCAAAGGAAAGATATATATATTTTGTATGAAAGTGTATATATAAATTAATATTATTTACAAAGATATAGAAAAATATATTTTTTCTTGTACGTTGGATATCGATGAAATTCGTAACAGGCCTGGTCAATCGGTATCGTTCCACGAGTAGCAGAAACCTTCGATCTTTCGTGGCTTACAGATAAGATGAAACGATATTTAACAAAAGAAATTAAATATCAGAACGATCTATATTCTTTACTCGCGGCTCTTAAACCTATATCAACAAAGTATTCGTTTCGTTTCGCGATTACTTAATTTTAATACGTTAATTTTAATATAATCAGTATCATAAGTATCATACTGTAAAAGAACATAGCGATTGGACAGGCCTGTTCAATATCGCTAATCAATGCCTACACTGATACTAATATTCTTCGCAACTGCTATCAATTTAATGGAAACATGTTCTCATTGTCTCTAACACTGTGCTAAAGAAATATCTTTGTAAATAACACGCATTCACATAAACATTCAAATACAAATCCACTCGTCTTTGATTAAAATCCATCAGAAACAAGATTTAATAAACTCCAACAACCCTATTACCATTATCTCTCCCTTTCGCCGACTCTTCATTGCAAAACAATTTTCCTTTCACATCTCTAAACTCGGTGCGGAACAAGGGACCACAGAGAACCGAGAAGCTACCATAAAATTCGCGCGAATTCCCAAGAATCACCCGATAAATCATTCCCTTTGCTAATGTTTCGCGAACTGGAGGATCGCCAACAAACTCGAGGACAATTCCAGTCTGTGCACTACGATACAAGTTCGAGAAAGAACGGTCGAACGTGGAGCACAGCGGAGCAGGGCCGGCTAATTCAACAGCAGCTAGTCAGCCAGCCTTTCAGGACACCCTGTGCCAGTTGCAGCTAAAATTAAATCTAGAGTTTCAGTAACCTTCATTTGCCCATTCCCACCAGCGCTTCGTCCATCAGCTCGTCGTCGGTGATACACGGCGAGGCGGAATGAGGCGAGGGTGGGATAACCCTCGGCGAGGGTGCAGGGCTTTTCACGATGTGCACACTCACGGAAGGACTCGCTGGGAAGGCAGGCGGAGGAGGTGGTGGCGTGTTTCTGCGCACCGAGGCCGCCTGGGTCATGGCCCTCTCGGGGATGCTGGTGAAATTCAGACTCTTGGCCACGTCTTTCGGCGTGGAAAAGTCCAGCAGCATCTCGGCGGCCTCCTGAGACGTTGTCGTCGGTATCTCCGTGCCAGCAGTCTTCATTGTGCTCGACGAACCTTCCGAAGACACCGTTGTGCCCAATGAAGACGAAGAGGAAGATCCTCCGGAAGACGAAACTTGCGGTGGTTGCGGTTGCTGTTGCTGCGATTGTTGCTGTGGCTGTGCTGTCTGCTGTTGAGATTGCTGCTGCTGCTGTTGAGGTGGTTGAGGCTGCTGTTGCTGCTGCGACTGCTGCGGCTGTTGCTGCTTCTTCTCGTCGGATTTGTACTTTGTCATCGTGGCGTCTACTGGTTTAATGCTCAAGTTTAAACTCTCCGCGCTTCCGTTACCTGAGCTTGTGGTGGCAGTTCCGTTTCCGCTAGTTATGGTGCCTGTTGTCATCATAGTAGGGTACACGGATTTACTGGTAGGTTGAGCATCGGATCCTTTTGGTAGAACGGCCATTACTGGGCCACTGGCAGTGGAGTCGTCTTTGCCAACGGCGGTAGAATTCAAGCTGCTACTCAGAAATTGCGTATTACTCCTACTCATCGACAACTCTTTGTCGCGGGACTCGTTCTCGGCTGATTGCACTGAGAGATTCGTAAGGATGTCCATATCGTGCGAGCTACTGCTAGATAAAGCGGGAAGCAGAAGGTTACTTGCACTATCTGTACCGAGATTTATTACCGAGGCTGAACTTGTCATGGAGAGATTGTCAGGCTTCGTTTGTACATGATCCCTTCTACTCTGGCTCGATTGATCCTCCGACGTTGCCTTGGAAGTGGTGCTCGACGTGTTCGATAGCGTTTGCAGTTTCCCCTGTTCTGACGTCTGCTTCGTCGTGAGATTGTCCAACGTTTTGCCACTGTCCGGAAGCATCGACATCTTCTCCGATTTCTTGTCCCCGGAGTCTGCGTTAGCCCTAGCGGATAATTTAGGTATCTGAAATTTAGTGTCCAGTTGCTTTATGAGACCTTCCACGACCAATTGCGGTGGTAGATTCGACAGGTTCATGGAAGCGTGAGAAGCCAATATCTTGAACGCTCTTTCGCTCTCGCTCTCCTCCCGCAATCCCGATGGACTCGACTTCCTGGTATCCCCAATTCCTTTCGAAGGAAATATGCTTTTATCGCCGGACTTGGACAATCGCGATTTATCACGATTTCGACTAAGATCCGTTACACCGGAGCTAGCTGTCTTCGGAGAACTCGAGGAAGATTTGGAGGACATGACATTTTTGGAAAGCAGACCACTGCTACTACTGCTACCAACGCTGATTCCACCAGCACCATTACCACTTCCAGAATTCGATCCTGAGATAGACTTCAAGGCAGATAACATCTTCTGTCCTAGCAGAGTCGTTTTGTTGCCGCTACTACTGCCAGAACCGGAAGAAGAGGAACCTGACAACTTTGGGGATGTTTGAGACGGCGGTTTCTTCGACGCGGGACCAGAGCTTACTCCTGGCTTCAGACCGGTATGAGTTTTTGGAGAACCATTACCAGACATAGTTGCCGACGACGTGGACGAACTGGAAGACGTTCCAGTCGCGACGGACGCAGAGGATGAAGACAATTTGAGGTTTGTACCAGACTTGGAATCTTTTGTGCGAGTTTTGTTAATCGTTATCTTCATTCCATCGGAACTATGCTTTACCATATACTCTGCGGGATTTTTCGTATCCATGGATGAATTTTTGCTGATACATTTCCCCTCTGCTGTTTTATTCGATGAACTTCCAACGCTTCTCTCTTTCTGACCACTTGAGTTGCCACTTCCGCCGGTCGTCGACTTCGTTCCACCGTTCCCACCGTCGTCCGTGCAATGTTGAGCGTTCTTCAGCTTATCGATAACAGCGCTCAACGAGCCCTTTCTGTTCCTCGCCTGCTGTTGAGCGATAGCCGACTTACCAAGTTCTGAATTGCCGGACGGTGGTGTGCTACCACCGCTACTCGGCAATGTAGATTGCGTTTCCCCGCTAGGAATTAATTCCAGTTGCTTTAACTTACCACTGGAGGACTTGGTTTTGGGACTCTGATGGCCGCTTGATCCACCGAAAGCTAACGATGACGTCTTTCTCTCCTTCTCGCGATTGGAGTCTTTGCTTGACAACGAAGAGGAAGATTTTATTTTTGATTGTCCAGAATCGGCAGTTTTGCTGGAAGGTGAATTCGCCGCGGATTTCAGCGCAGACATGCTCGGTTTGCCAGTGCTTGCTGAACTCCCGTGCTTGGGTGACGAGGTGCCATGTTTCGGGCTCACACTCGCAGGTACTGGCGTATGTTTCGGGCTACTGCTATAGACCGGAGAGTGCTTTGGACTTTGTACTGGCTTGTTTGTTGACTGTTTCAACGTAGGACTGGACTTACCTACGAGAGCAAGTGGGCTGGTATGTGTCGGAGAGGGGCTAAATTTTCGTGACGTCGTCGCCGGTGATGATGGTCGTGAACTCAAATTTGGTGGCGATTCAGTCGGTTTAATGCTCACCGAGACTGGTTTCGATAATGGGTCCTGCTTAGATGGTATTTTATCTGGCGGTGGTCCCATAGGACTATCTTCTCTTTTACGCTTACGTCTCTTTTCTAACTTTCCCTTATCCTCCGTCGACTTTCCTTTCGAACTTTTGCGCTCTCTTCGTTCATCCGTCAAACTTTTTGACTGTGTCGGGCCAGCTATCGGGGTAATAGTGATAGAGCTTGGTAATGTGGTTTGTGGAGACGACGCTATCGGTATTATTTCAATGCCTGGCCTCCTTTCCAAACCCATCCCCGTAAGTACAGAGTTATAGTTCGTAGTCTGGCCCAAACTACTGCTTGAAATTGGCGTTATACTTACTGATGGAGGCACCAAACTTTTGTTCTCCTCAAATATAATCGGACTCTTTTTCTCTTCTCTCTTTCTCGATTTGCGATCACGTTTAATTAACTCTTCGACATCTTGCAATTCGTGAACTTCCGTTATCTCGCTCTCGTTGTCGATATCATAATCAGAGCTCTTATCCGTTCCTAAGATATCCGTTGGATCCAAATTAGAAAAGTCTAAACCACTGGCTAAACTAGTAGCTGAAGTTGGCGTGGATGTTCTCGTTTCGTTTAAATTTTCTCTGCCACCAGTTGGTGTACCGAGTGGGGTCGAATCTGAACTGGAACTTTCCAACAATATTTCAGTACTCTCGTCTCCCTTTCTTTTGGGACTTCGCCAAATACCATCTGGAGTTTTCCTCTTACGCGTTTTTTTTGTGCGTTCGTTGATTGGATTGGACATGGAGTTTTTTGCCTGTCCAAGTAACGCTCCTAATTGCAATGGATTCAACATAGCAGTAGTCGTGGTATCGGATTGGCCGGAATACGACGGAAAACCGATACTATTCTCCGTTCCGGCATCTAAAAAAGACTGCTGCTGCTGCTGTTGTTGTTGCTGCTGTTGTTGCTGTTGCGATGACTGTTGCCTCCCCATCGTTCCATTCCCATTATTTAAACCAGGTTCTTGTTTGATTTTCGTTTCTCCATTGGTAAAGTCAGGCATTCCAGAATTATTCTGACTATTCTGATCTTTGCCGGAACCAATATTTACATTATAGTTTCCATTTCCGCTATTCAGATTGTTCATCGTACTCAAAGAATCGCGACTCTCCCACGATTTCATGAGAATTCTCATTGTTAAAGGTATACTTAAACACTTCTGTAATACTTTTCCAGTCAGATCTGACGTTTGTTCCGTATTAGTTATACTTATGCCATACAATTTGCACTTTAGCGCGGAGATATCCGTCAAATCTAGCTCCGCCGTTGCCATTGTCTCCTCAAAAGGATGCTCCAAACTTACCGATATGTGTTGCCACGATAAAGCACTCACTTCAAATATAGTTGCATGTTCTGGATCTTGCAGAGCTATAGGTCTAACGCAAGTAGCAATTAAAGTATTAAAGAGCGCTTGCTGACGCAAGTAAACCAAGATTTGTGGGACGTGTGCCGGATGAGTGAAAGGAATACTACACACTAACACACCTTCCATATTTTTGTTCTCCGTCATGAAGTAACAATGTTGTTGATCTGGCAAAGTCTGTAACAAAAAGTAGCATTTGTAATGATAAAGATTTCAACAATTAATTATCATATAGAATAATTTACATACAACATAAAGTCTTCTGTTATTCCGACAATCCAGTTGTCCTTTGCTGGCATGCTGAACGATCAAACTAAGTAACGGATGAGGAGCAGATATATCTCCGCATTCCAATTCCGTTACTTTTTGTATCCTACGTACTAGTTCCATGCACATAGGCATTTTTTTAGCTAGCTTCAATACAAAGCATGCAGGTAATACCGACGAATTTGTACCAGTTAACGGAGCATAAGACGGGGTACTAGAAAATATTAACTATCAGTTAGAAATCAATGAATAAAATAGATGCAATATATGTTCTTTTATAAAAGATTATAAACCTTTTTCCTGTAGGACTTCTATTTACAGTTATGATACTAGATGTAGGCAACTTGTGAGCAGTCGAACCTTCTATACAAACTGTAACGGAATGACCGATCTTCCGTTTTATAACTATGTCTGAACTCAATGCATCATAAGTAAGATTCTCCAGGTCTATTAAATCATAAGGAGAAACAAAATATGTTAATTTCATCGCGTGACCTCCTCTTCTTCGCTCAAGAATTCCTAAAGTAAAAGACCATTTCATTACCATGAAAATTATCTTCTTAGTTTCATAAAGATAAATATAAATTTCGATACTAACCAACTGGGCTTTTGTGAACAAGATTAAAAGGTTCTTTTATAAAAGTTTGCAATTGAGCTAAAATACCCAGGTCAGCCTCCAGTGACTGTAAAGCACTAAATGCTTTACATTTTACTTTCTTATCAGCATTTAATTGATATATTGAAGCTAAACCTTCTAATTGTACTGTAAAATCAAGAAAGTCTCCCCGCGACAAACAAGACACCAATACATCACAGCTCTGTAAAATTTTCATTAAGAATTATATAAAACCATGTATTTAAAGAGTCATTATCTTATAAAAATTGGAAATTTGATACCTGCTGTTCATTCTTTCCTTCGTGATGAATTTTAACATCTTTAACTACACCTGTTGGCTCCAAAAGAACCTCCAAAAAGAACATATCTGATGAGATAAACAACTCTGTACCTGGTGGACCAGACATCATAAACTTTAAGCTGTAATCCAATCACAACAGAAATATTGACTAAATTATCTAATTTTGTTCATTCTAGAATAAATAATTTATAACTATTTACCCCAATTGTCTTGTTAAACTTTCCAAACGTTCTACCATGGATTGTAAAGAGGTCACTTTTATGGAATGTTGCAAAGTATCCAAACATTTTTGTAGTTGACTTTTTTCAGCACTATCTATTGCAAATCTTTTATCCTATTAAACATAATTTGAAAATCAATACTTATACAAATGTTATTTGTCAATATATTACAAGTTACTTACCAGCATAGCCATCCGTAAATTTTTGGCAGTTTCCACCAAGGATTTGAATGTAGAAGCTTTAGAACGTAATTTTTCAATAAGTAATTCCATCTGCCACTCTTTTCCTTTATCCATCCCTGAACCACCAGTGGCAGAAGGTTGCCCACCTATATTATAAAATTTATACAATACAGTGCATAAATTTTCATAATCATATATAGTTATGCCATTAGAGAGGCAATTAATTTTTTGTATGTGTACGAATAAATTTACATCGAAATATCACTCAACAGCATTTAAATTTCTAAGAATGATTTCTATGAATATTTTAATCATCAAATAAGATATTTCAAAATAAAATAAAATTACATAAATTACATTAAATAAATTATAAATTACACTCACTAAGGGGCTTTTGTCCGTTCGCAACATCCATGTATTCCGTGATGGATCACACGGATGTTGAATCTACGCGTATATCGATATACGTTTACTATTATAATATCACAACAACATTACTATATGCTACATTGTGACAGGAGCTGTTATTTTCACCTAACCCACGTTTGATCACTTAACTGCTCCTAACCTTCACGCACAATATACTAACTATACTTAGAAGCCATACGTTTCTACGTATAGGCGTTTTCATCCATAGTATGCCTCAAGAAGGGGAATTCCACAACGCTTTATTAAGACCCACTCTTTTACACCCCCTATAGTTACATTTTACAAATTAATATTTATTAGAATTTTCAATGCCTTTTAGATAAAGAATAAGTTATACTCGGTGATTAATTGCATTTCTTTCAAAGTAGAAATTTGTTTCTTAACTCGATATGAACATAATGAATATTGCATAACTACAAAATTTCTAGGACTAACGTATAATACGGAAATTGTACTTCTATATAATTTATTATATTTATGTAATATTATACAGCTAATGCAAGTGAGCAAAATTATAACAATATAAATAATATGTTATAATGAAAATTATTTCAGTTATAATTTAAATGTATTACTTTTAAAGCGTCATATTTGAATGCGTTTGAGAACGAGATTTAAGCCTTAACTTAAACGTAATAGTAACGACATCTAGTAGTACGTTGCAGAAAGTAAAAGATTTTCCCACCAATTTAGCTATGGAAATTTAGAGACTCGAAATATGTATATATGTATAATTAGTTATAATCGATTTAAGCCGATTATTTAACATAAAATTTCTGTTAAACTAGTCAAACTAAAAACAATTCAAACGAATAAAAATCAAAATTATAAATTGAAAGTACAAAGCAAAATAATTATCATCGATTAATCATTGATCAAAAGAAGAAAGAATATTTTTTCTTTACTTACGTATGTAGAGATATTTAATATCATTTAAATTAAAAGCCTGTTATGTACGTATTAATGTAACATATAAAACTAAAATAAGGGATACTAGTTGTAGTTTAATAACTCCAATTAACATTGAAAATATTCTTTATTCGTGGACATCCTTTTTATTCGAACTTCGGCTAAAACTTATGCAAATAACTTCATTATTAATTATTAAATTATAAACTTTGCCAAGATACTAATAACGCTACTACATAAAAATGTCCACCATTCAAAAATGTTACATAAAAATAATTTCTAAAAAGCTGTATTTCAACATTTTTTCTAAAATTTCTCTTATAAAATTTTTAGTTAAAGTACTTTTTTTTACCGCTAAGAAGTTAGGTACTTTTGCACTCTTGCGATCGATATTTACTACGTATATTGCAAAATTTCCATGTCTACCTTGTATCATTTATTACCCTAATACTTTATGGCATCTTACCCATAAATCTATATTACCAGCAAGCGGAATTCATTTAATACTGATAGCTTTTCAATCCACCGAAAACAACTGTTTTTAATAAAAATTGCGAATCTATTATAATGTTGCACCAACATTCAATTTTTATTCTAATTAAAGAATAGTCTAATAAAAAATCAACTCCAATCTTGTATGATATCAGTCAATCTTTAAATCTCTCAATATTGTTATATTAGGAACTAATTTAACGGATCGACTGTCACCAATTCAAAATTGAATCTTTTTTGAAATTTTGTGCAGATACTTCTAAACTAGCCTTCAACTGGTCTACACTAGCTTTCATCATACTCACAGACTGGAACTCTCAAACTTACAAAGTTATACCTACTTAAAGAAAAAAAAATATTTGCCTATCTAACTGCAAAGCACCAATTCAACAAGTGCACAGTCTTATTTAGGAAAGTCTTTAGAATCATTCATGGACTGGCCCTTTTTTCGTGGTAACTGCAACGTAATAGGTTGAACATCCTGGACTTTTCTGGGTCCCTGATTCGAACTACGAAACGTGATTTTCAAATTAGGCACATGTTGCTCAGCCGCCCAATCGAAATTAAAAATCGGTGTTTCTGGATGTAGCTCAGAGTCCGGAGTGTCGACCGGTGTGGTTGGTGTTGCTACATACGGGCTAAGTTCCTGATGAACGACATCTGGTACCCTCTGTAGAGTATCGGACCAGACTGGATTTGAATTCCAGTGTTCCATAGACAACTCTGAAGGATCAACTGTAGATCCTGTAGCTGTAGACGCCGACAGCGCTTTACCCGGAAGTCGTTTATGGCTACTATTCCTCTCGTTACAACAATACTCCTTATCTAAGTCTGTGATGTAATACTTGGGTGACAACGTGTCTACATTATATTGACCGTGACACTGGATAAACTTGGCGCGATAACCGCTTAGATTCAATGAATTTTTATGGTGCACTTTGTACCTATCAGTGAATTGACCAAGCGCATAATGACCATGTTGTATATTCACGTGCACGTTTCTGTTTTCATGTTCGCTACTGCTGATCGACATGTCAACTGGTTCTGCATCCTCTCGCGGGTTCCTTGTTGCGTAATCCTTTAATTGTGGTTTTGACGAATTATGTGGATCTTGTTCTGAATTTCGTATATCAGGAGAGTGTTGCGTATCGTTGTTATGTGCATGGGATAACGAACGAGTATAATCCTGTTGCTGACTACTTTGACTCCCGGTAGCGTATGGCACACTGCGGTTTTGACTCCCGGAGCAGATGGTATAAGTAAATTTAGTTTGAGATGAATACTGGTACAACCAAGAACTTGAGCGCATTACTTCTGCTTCCCTGTCACTGTAATAATATATTACATCGGACATACTTCTCATTATTTTATTATTTTTATTTTATTTATAATTATTATTTTCTTTATTCCAGCATTAGTTGATTAATTTACAAAAACATAAATGGGCATTTTCTAAACAATGTTTAACATTCTATTTAACGAATAAGAAATCGTTACTATGTTTAATTAGAAAACAAGATAAAAATATTCGAAATGAAATTTATAAATATGGAAACGCACCTCAAAACTTGATTCGTGCACACAATGATAGGATGTTGACATTCTTCGGAAGTATCTTTGACTTGTAAAACGCAGTGTACCCAGAACCAGCGTCCGGAACGGCTTTGCAGTCTCAACAATGCGGTTGCAGACCGTTCTTGATCAGATTGAATAACTGAAACAACCGTGAATAATATCAAAGCTTTCAAATGTTTTAAATGTTAAAACGTTTCATTTAGTTTTTAAATCAGTTTCCGTTTTATCCGTGATGTTTAAGCAGTACAAAGATACATTAACCTTTTTCTTACAAATCCATCACTTCCAATTAAAAACAAAGTTGCAAATTTAATTATTTAAAATTTCTATGAACGTACCAGTTTGATGTTTACAATATGCTGTTCGTATTGAGTCCCAGTGTAACAAATTATACCATGACATATTTACTAATTCGTTACGTGTGTACTCCAAATGGCTTTCAGCTCTGTAAATAAATAAAACAAGATATTTATCTCCATATTTCAGGACTGTTTTAACATTTTATCTTTTCCAATAATTGAAAAAAAAAAAACATTACGTTTTATCGATATGCAGATATTTCATATCCATAGAGTGAATGGTGGTGAAAATATTTGTTGCACCCTGCACGATACTTTCTCTAGTTTCCGGCAAAACAACAGGTGTACACGAAGCAAGGAAAACAAACTCATTTCGATTACAAACAGGAACGAAAGGTAAAAAATGACCTTCAACTAAAACCACCTATAAAAGAATAACGATAGAACTAAACGCACAAATAATATATACACTATAAAGAAGATAATATTAATAACGAAAAAAACAAATAATTGGAATATATAATTTCTAGGATAACATAAAATAAAAAGAGTACAAAATGTTCTTAATCGACATTCTATAAGACATGAAAGAAGCTCGCTAGATATATGTAAATAAGTGGTATTACATTGTCTCGGTTAAACGTAAAATTTACCTTCTGGTCGCCAAAACGAAGCTGCCTCCGAGAATTTCTGGATACGTTGATCCGACAAAGAAACAATCTTCTATCGCTTGGAATTGGACTATTTCTAGATAATTGATTTTGTACAACCATGTGATCTTGCTTGTCTATTACGTCGTAAACACTATCTCCGTGGATAAGCAAATCCTCCTAAAATACATTGTACAATGTAGAACATTGAATTAAATTCAATTCCAATGATAAAATGTATCGCAATTTTATATATTTCTACTGCAACTGATAAAACACCTAAAACCAATATTTTTTTTACATTTGCTTTAGTGAATTCTTAATGTAATCGATTACCATAATTGTTGTGTCTTTGCAATTACTTTACCATAGAGTGTCCAAGATATTCCGCTGCATTTTCCGATATATACAACAGTTTCCCTTGCTGGGTCATCATCATTATAAATCCGGACATGGCCTGAAAAATTGCATGCATTGTATGGCCAACATTTGTACCGTAGCAACTAACGGTCAAAAATACAATGCGATATCATGATAAACAATATTACTTTTGAAAATCCAATGTTAGGGGTCGGGATATTTGAAGAGTCGGACGGACAGTTTTTCAAGGCTGAAACAGGAAAAAAAGACACAATCAGTGGATTAATCCAAATTCAATAATTAATTTACTACGAAAAATTTTGACACGATTATATTTATACGAAAATTGTTAGAAACCAAATTCAATTTAATACAGAAATCAATTTTATTTTATTATCGATTTTATTCATTTTCATTAAATAAGGAATTACGCATAATATTTTTGTCATGCAATATTAATCCCTCTGAATATTAATAGCGTATACACATGTAAAAATCTTTTAATCGAATTTAAAATTAGATAGATAACACTAATAGAATCGTCGGATTAAAAACGTTCATGATTCTTGTACAATACGTTATAAAATTTAAACTTCACATATGGTAGCATAAAATTGTTACGATGTTCATGAATAGTCTATAAAACAGATATTTGGATGGTATTTCTAGGATCTTATCGTTAGTACACTTTTTATTATCCATAAATATTTCAACTTAAGGCTTTTCTAGATTAGATCCTCTTTATCTCAATAACAATAAAATAATTTTACGGGCAACATCTTGTACGTAGACAAAGGACAAGAAGAAAAGTAATAAATAAAAATTAAATAACAATACTTCGATAACAATGTCGACGTAAAGAGAAAGACAAGAATCGAATATCTTCTCCATTTTTATGCTACGTATTACATATCATTGATCACGCATTATAAGCGATTTTAATTTTTAAGTTCCAGGCTTTTAAAACATGATGTTGCAAAAATTATAAAGTATTTATTTACATGGTAATCATATATATTGAATTTATTATTAATTACTTATTTTCAATGGTATCGTGTTTTTGAAAAGCGACATTACAAAATCGTAAGATATTTATCCATATATGTATGTACGCGTTCAATTTCTTATTCAGCATCTCTATAAATATTCACAAATGAAATAAAAAATTTCTAATTTTTTAGATAGATAGATATATATATATAAAAAATTGGATAGAAAACGAGACATTCTAACTAAATAATCACTAAAACAAAAAAAGAACTAAAGTTATATATATATACAACTAGTTATATTAATAAAACAAATTCCAAAACATTCACCTACTTGGAGTAATAAATTCAAAAAACATAAATCGCCAATAAAAAATCCTAAATCGAAATTCATCGATAATTACAATTATGTGCATAAAATGAGCCTCTGAAGCAACTATAGGAAATTTCTTCCTAGCATACCTCGCGTATTTCACTTACCTGCATTCCTACCATTCCAAACTAATTTTAACTTCTCCATCAAACCAGCCATCCAATATCCCACAAAAGTTCCCATAACCATGGCACCAAAACTATTAAGAGCACATCGCCATCGAGCAACTCGAAAATAATAAATTTCCAAACATCTGTTGCCTATAAAATATCCATCTACTACCCAAATATCTATTACCCATAATCCTTCTCAATTGTCAGCGAAATATATCGACTACGATAATAAAGATACACAAAACGAATTTTCCTGTCTTAACCAAATATAGAATTTCATTTTTCTCCGTTAAAATATTTATTCTCCGATTAACGATCATCGCGGTAAAAAGCATGAGCATAACCAATGAAACGTTCGAACGAAAGAGTAACGGCGGAAAATTCGTTCGATCTATGCGTTTTCCAACGTTGTTCTGCAGGGGGGAAAAGGGGGGAAAGAGCCGGGGAAAGAAAAAAGGAGCGAGAAAGAGGAGAGGGAAAGAAGCGTATGCTAATGCAGCACGGCTACGTTTACAAACGGCGCTACACGGGACTATAGTATCGAATACTGTGAAACAATGAGTATGTAGGAGAGAAAGAAAGAACGACGGAGAGCGGAGAGACGATACAGAGGGAGTATGGGTTACAGGAGCGTGAGAGTGTTGTTGCAAAGGCCGACAGGTCAGCGGATCACCCGGAACTCGCGCTTAGACTCCGCTGAGTTTGAATGTACGCCGATCTTACCTTCTTGCCTTACCTACCTCCCTACCTTTTACCTATATATTACTCTCTACGCTTGCACAACGGAGATGCCCGAAGTTTTTGATGCTCGAACGACCGTTTAATATTCTTGTCAAACGGTCGATTCTCACTGCTGCGAAATTTGATCGATATTACGCATTAGGTATACCAACTTCCCTAGGGGAACTACTTATCGATATATCGTGTCACTCGATCGTGTCGATTGCGTCGTTCCGTAAAATGTTTGCAAACTTTGAGGTTAACGTAATGTCTGGCTTTAAATTGAGAAGCAGTTGGAATTTGGTACGTTTTAAATATACCTCGATGGATTATCGATGATGCAATTTTGTCATTTTCTTTGCAGAATTATTGATTGGTATATTTGACTGGTATATATCGACAGAGTAAGTATTAGAAGTATGAAGGAATTTTTCAAATATTTCACACAGGATGATTACTAATGTTTTAAACGTGAATCGATAGTATACATGAGTTTGTACGATCTGTGTTCGGAAAGTGGAGGTGTGTACAAATAAACAGGGACCTTCAAGAACTTTCTACGAGTATGTAGCTTTTTGTAACTTGATAAAGACGATCTGGTCTTGCATTTTTAACGATATTTATTGTGAAGAAATTGTCTGAAATGTAATAAAAGAATGGTATAACTGTGAAATTATGGAGATGCAAAGGGTAAATAATTATTTAGATTATTTACAATTGTATTCGAGGAATCGATTATAAATAATATTAAACGATATAATTTTACTAACACGATAGTTACAATTTAATGATCCAGGTAATTAATAATTTATCGTTTTAAACTTCATTTTGTTATAAATATCTTTTTGTAATATATTATCGAATGATGTTTTGTTTGTTCTTTAATATTATATTAACATGTTCATAATTTATTATTTTAACATTAATGATTGAAAATAAGTAGTAAATGGTATCCATATTAATACATCGTAATATACCGTATATATTAGTATACAGATTGCAGATATGTAAACCATCAAAATTGATACGAATATTCCATTTATTAATTAATTTATAATATTGATATTATTTAAATTAACTTATACCATTAATCTAAATTATATTATTCGATACGAAACACACTCGTAATTTGTGCTTAATATAATTATAATTTATTTAAAATATTCCATTCCATAATTGTGAAATAAATACAGAAACATTTTCTTTGACTCTTATTCTTCCAATTTCTCAATTTTCAAAATTGACTCTAGTAATCGATACTACTATTTTAATCGTTACAATTATCTATTATCTGCTACTTCGAAGTAATTAATAAAGTTACCGATATTTTGATATTGGTTTTCGTAGTGACGTACAAGTCCACTAGAAGATGGAGAATGTAAAAATTAAAACGACGAGCGTCTCGCCATGAAACAAAGGCATAGCGTTCACTGTGCAGCAAGTATACGCAAAAGCATTCGCAAATTTTGAACTTTGCTTTACTTTAACTTTACTTTATAATAATTGAAACATTGGCTTCGAATGTTTTCGATATATTATTATGATCTCAGCTATTTTATACACAATTAAATCTTTCGTTAATGAAAATTATACCTTCCAAACAGAAAGCAGATTTTTCTCAGCGTATCTTCGCAATTCCAATCCAGTCTTTGTTCCACTTATTACATAATAACAAGAATATCAAAAAATCACAAATATCGTATACGTATAAAATAAAATGTTTTCAAAAAAGATCTCGTATTGCAGTGAGTAAATTTAAAAAAATAAATTTTGGTTTTAGCGCATTAGATAAATTAGAAAAATAAATATTTATTTAACGTTATACTACACCTGACAAAAATCTATTTTGAATATTACCTTGAATATTCGTAAGTTCATATTTCTTAAGTTAGTTATGATAAGGCTGGAAAATAAAATTATCTATACGCGATAACGATTATTACAATGTGTAGACATTACTTTTTTATTTTATACTATGAATTCAGTTTAATCTATTTATTAAGAACAATAATTTAATTTAATTTATTTATTAAAAATACTATGATATGTTCCTACACAGATTGTATGCTGCACTTTATGGCTCAGGTACTCGTGATTTATAACGGTTTATAAAGTGCTCGATAATGTTATGCACAGTGAAGATTGAATATGCAAGATCTCCATTTTCAATGACATTCAATTCTTAACTCAAAAAGATGAAAACAGAAAATCTTCGTTTATATAACATACTGTTATTGATTAGGAATGCAATTACTACAACTTCAAGCAATATTTACTCGCATAATTAATTATTTTCCAAAGTGTCACTTAAGTTGCATATGGAAAACACTAACAGTTAAACTGCAAGTATAAAAATTACTTTTGTAAATTTTTCTTATATCTGTTTAGATGTAAATTGCATTACAACAATATTGCATTTAATCCTACGTGCTACTAAATTGATTAAAACTTTTTATCAAGGTTGAAGTAGTATGGATATCCGATATGACCGCAATATGTGTCGTTATAAATATTGGTAAATATTTTTTATCTGTAATTAATTTGAATTATTTATAAAGCTATCATTTCACATATGTGAAAAATTATGAGTATTTTAAATACCGATAATTCAGTTAAGTATAGTAGACTAACTATTAATTTTACTTTCAGCTGTGTTCAAATATGAAAACTCGTAAGATATCACTAAATACTGGGTAAATATTCGATTGTAGTTTCCTAAAAGTTACAAGAACCACTGAGAACATGAAGTAACTTATGCGATAATCAGAAATGAACCATGCGCCGTTCTTCTGACTCACGTTGCGTGTATTCGACAAATTATTAAACTAAACAAACCAATTACCCCATGCTAGATATTTCTTTCTACTTCTAATGGTACGCCTTAACTTTCTCATACCGATGGAAAATGTTTTCACGGTGATAATAATTGTACTGATTGTTTATGAACATCTACCAGATTATTTTATACGAAATATTTTTATACTACATTAAAATTAGCTAAAATAAAGACGTAACATTGTAGAAATGATTAGAACAAAATGGAAACTCAAATTGCGATATGATTACGATACTGGTTATAAATAATAAAATAAATCAACTGTATTTGTTTTCGCAGCATAGAGGCATCCGGAATCAAAAATGGCGGTTACCAAGCACTGTTTAAAAAATTGAGTATCACGAAAACATAGTCACCCATGTAGTAATAACCATCGATCTTAATGGATTAACTAGATACTAAGATAATCGACTCGATGAGAAGAAACGTAAGGTATCAGTGTAGTTTTACAATAAAGATATCAATAACACGTACCTAAAAATCTGGACTTTCAAATTTATGAAGATTTTTCGTCTTTTGATTAGATTTATTTGCAATGCTTACCTTGTTGAAAGTAATTGGCTTTTCGAAGAAATACGCAGACCAAGGCCATAAGCTGTAGCTGGGAAAGTCTCTGACGGGTTGAGGGCGGTAATGGCAGTAAATCACGTAAGTTGGCGATTTCGGCATTTATCAGGTCCCTTCGAAGTTTGCTGGCACCTTTCGTTGATTTGCTCGCATCTATCCTTCAAGCACACACGGATGTTACCGATACGCTATACTTTGCGGGACAGTTGAATCTACTTGCGAAACTGACGCGCGTTGTACACACATTTTTACTACTTTTAAAATGTTCGTTGCAGATAACGACGCTTACATGTGAGGATTATTTAAACGCGAGAATGAAACTTACACTAATATCTATAAACTTATATGAATTTCATATTCTTAATCCTTTTTCTTTATCATACAGTGCAACTTAACCAGTTGCAATTCTAAAAGAAATTACCAATGGAAATGAATACAACGCTGTGTAGGAGAGGAAGAGTAAAACTTGTATCCCGCCGATCAGTCAAAATATCAAACGTCAAAATACTGAGCCAATCGAATTTCCACGGTGTGGCGAACGTCACCGTCGGAGGCGCTTAACGAAAGGGGTAGAAATCACGATCGACGGTCAATGCTCGAAAGATAAGTAGTATTCGCGACGCGTTAAACATATCATTCGACACGTCGATCACGTGACCGAACATTACTTACCGATTGAACATATTTCGGTGACCAGGAGGACATTAGTAGCGGATCACTTGTAGACGACGAACGAGACATCCGGGTCGGCAGGTTCTCGCAAAACTGCAGCTACGATCTAACATCCGGGTCATAACGCGCTACTACACTGAACACGTGGATACTGGCGGAGGCTGGTTCTCCTACCTTCTCACCTCCGCAGCCCCCCTTTTTCTCCTTTGCCGCCACCACCACCGCCACCCACCTTTACCTCCCTTTCCGTCCACCTCGAACATAGCCGTCCTGCTCTCGCAAACAACAGGTATGATAATCTCTTCCCTGTTTCGCTGTTTATATTCCTTAGTCGCTCCCACTCGTCGATTTATCTCACTCGTTTATTCCCTTTCTCCACTTTTTCGCTCGCTCGCACCTTTACCCCATGCTGCTACCACGGTCACGATCGAGCAGTCGTGTCCCTCTACCACCGCCATCATCGCCATCCTCGCCACCACCACCGGCTACTGGTTGCGTTTCCTGTACATGCGGTTTTGCCCGAATCATTTGCGCAAAGTCCCGCCTCGAGAACTTTTCGGTACTGGCTCTGAGCGCGCGCTGGTGTACCATCGAGCTCGGGTGAGGTTGGGATTTTCGGAGCGGAGCTAACGTTTCGAACAAGGTAAACGTTAGAATAGTAACTGGTAGCTCGTTTGAATATATAACTATATTTTCTTCTCGTGGATTGCAGGTAACTTCAGATTCTTTTGGGTAACTTGCTTGAAACTAAGAAAATATGAGACACGAGGGCTGTCAAACGAAAAGTATCGTTAAATTTTTAGAGAGAAGAAAGTGAAGACATGTTTTATTTTGCTTCTTTTAATTATTTTTTACTTACTTTTCATAACGGATAAATTTTTATAGATTGATTATAATGCAAAGTGAGATATTTCAATGCTACTACTTTTTACTTTGACAATAACAATTTGTTAACTAAAGAAAACAATAAAATTACCTTGCATTTTTTTCTTAGATAAATTCATTGCTTTATTATATGTTCTTTTTTCAAATATCTTATATTTCCTGTTTAAAATATTGTTTTACAAGATTATTGGCATCAGAGGCAGCTTTGTGTCAACCATTAATGATTACATTATGGTAAATTATTGATCGAACGAATCTTCTTCCTTTCTTAGAATATTAATACTTATTTATACTGAATTTATCTTTATTTTGATAATGTTGGATAATTTTATTATCACCTATTTTTCGATCTGAATTGTATAAAGATATTTCTTGACACTCATTTTTTTTCTTTTACTGCAGATTGTTTTACTGCATATAAATTGAAGTAGTACATTGTATTTTACTTTCTTATCTTACTTTATAAGCATATTTCTTGCAAAAAATTACGCTGCTCGAAATAATTGGAGTAGCACTCTGTTGACTTCAGTAACGAATGAACTTATTTTATTCTATAATTTAGAAATATGATCCCTTAATTATTTTGAGCAGCATACATAAAAGTACGATAAATATCGATCTTTATATTAATTGGTTCATTCGACGGTCAACAATCACTCTTGAGCTTAAAATTATATTTAGAAAGAAATATCGAGCCGCGAAATTTCTGAATTATACATAACATATTTAGCATGATATTTAAGTAATTATTCTATATCTATTTTTTAAATTATAGACGGTTCAACTTGTTATCTTTTAGTCACATTATCGAAGATATCTATAATTTAAAAAATTTTCGGAAAAAAATACATGAAATTATATTCAATTATAATTTATAAATATAATTTATCTGAACGTAACTATTTTATTCAATTTCACAAAATAAAATATTCAAGTAACATAAATTTGATATATATATATTTTACGAACTAATTTTTTAGACCGTCAATAAATTAAAAAATCGATGTCCACGAAAATGATCACATTAAGAATCATATTACCTTTATCTCAGAAATTTCTCGTTTTATCGTATAATTAATTAAGAATGTTTACGGAAGCACCCTGTAGATTTCCATACTTCGAATAACTAAATTATAAACAAAGTAGTAAGGGAATCTTATACATAAAAGATACGCTTACGTGTATTGCATAACTTATTGATAAATTTATTGATATCGAAATTTAATTAAAACTATTTTCACGTAATCGTCAACTATTTGTAAAAATATTCCGTGAAAAAGATTTCAATATCATATGAAGTAGTTGCTTATAATTTTACAATGGCCGTAACCGAACTATAGCAGTTAGCTTCTTCTATTTTGCCTGCATTCTAGGTCTAATTTTTTTTTGTTTCACCAGTCTTTCTTCCCTTATTTGTAATAATCAGAGATCCAAAGACGAAACGATTTAAATCAACTTTTGGTCGATTTTACATACAAAATTTGCACTAATGTTAAATATTCGATACGATCGAACTCGTTAATGTACCCTAACATAATTTCATTACTTAATTTCCAAACGGCTTAAATATTAAAATCGTGAATACATTATATAGCACAGTTGCTCAACTTGATCTATAATCTACTAGTTTTTATTAAGTGAAGTCGTATTTCGTTCGAAATGAAAAAGATGGAAATTTGTTAAAGTCGTCGCAGGACCATTGCAAGTTTAACATTTTCGTGCAATGGAAGCCAACAATGAAAAGCTTGTTTAACAAAATTTGTACGATGTAAAGATTGCTTTCTTGATCATGAAAACGAGCATTCTGAAAATGATACTTAAAATAAAATTACTTTTTAACAATTTAATAAAGCCTCTTCAATGAACCAATATAAGATCGAAACGAATAATGGCGAATTAAATAAACGAATAAAATGATATTTCTTAAACTAAAAATTCCTACGTGTCTTGAAACATTTGGGCCTTAATTTTCCGTTTAGTTTTGTTACTCTGAAAGTACTGAAACAAAAGATAATTATTAGACCATATTATTATGACAATGAAGTTATATGAAAATTTCACTACGTATATTTCAGATAAAATTCTTCGACGTTACAATTTACTAACCGTGAGTAAATTGTGTTAAATAAGAACTTACAAATTACGTATTGGCGGACTATAAATCAGTGTTTTCAATGATCCATGCATATAGAGAATGAGGCACTTAATACGCGCACCGTAATTAATGCTTCTTCTCGGCAAAATAATTGTCCCCGCAAAAATTGTAAACCTTCGCATTATAACGAATAGACGTTTTTTAAAGTAGAAGAAATTTATCGCGTGTATGAAATTTATCACATTTCCAAGTTAAAAATAAAATGATTCTTTATTTCTTAATTTCTTATTTTCCTCGAATTTTCTTAACTTCAAATGATTTTTGTTTACTTATAGATACAAAATTTATAAAAGAATCCCTTTCGACTTTACTGGTTTCTATCATACACGTTTATTCTTTTTATCGGTACAAAGAATTCTATATTTTCATATAAATAAGTGAAGAAAGTGTCATTTGAAGTCAGACATACATACGTACGTACGTGGAACTGAATAACTAAAGATAAATTTACGTGTTTGATTGATGCCAAAATTAAACGCGCGTGTTAAAAATACAAATATTTCTAGCATATTGTAATATATTTTTACTATTTTATTGTGATTCGTATGAACATCTATTATTCGTCAAATCTTACAAAATCAAGTACCCTTATTTATACATAATAGCTTGGAACGTAACAACCCTAAATAGCATTCTCATAAACTTTTATTGAATTCAACATAATATTGCTATTTCATGGTATTATGCTGAAGAAGTGAATAAGTGCTGACTATTTATGAGAAAGAGATTTGATTAAATAAAACGCGTTAAGTGACTCACACTGTACATGTACAAGACATTTCGTTTGACTTCGTTACTAAAAATATATTTGTTTTGTATTCTGAGTTCTGAATATATTTTGCTTTATATTTCTTAATATGAAAAGAACATCGTGCATTTAATTGTAAACGACGTATAATATAAATAACATAACTTTCTATATATAACAAATTTGATTTCGAGATTGTTTGGAATTCTTGATCGATGCTTGATCGATCCTTTTCGACACGGGCATATACTTTTGTGCAAAATACTGCAAACAATATAGCAAATGTGACTGGTGTACGTATCAAATTTTACATACGTATAAATTAATGATTGAATGTTTTAATCGCATTATTCAAACTCTTGTAGAAAATTAGAAATATTTGATACTATATACCCTAAAAATTTCAAGATTGCAAATAATGAAATAAATAATAAAACATAACATTTGATAAAAGCGAAGAAATTATTTCTCTTTTCTTTGTGTTAACCCCGACAAAAAAGTGTATTAGTGATCTTGAAATAATGAAAGCAATGTTTGATAATATTATAATTATCAATAGCGTTTAATTGACCACGATTTTTATTTCGGTATGACTTTCGCCCGAACATAAAAGTAAATACTTCATGTATTAAAATCACATGAATCAGTTCGCACACATAATATTTATTGAAGTATATAACTATTTATTTTTTATACCAATTATCATGATTAATTATCGAACCCAATGTTATAGTGTCTCAAAAAAATTCCCGGAAAAGATGCAGTACTTTCAATCTCTTTATTTTTAAATATTTGCATTGAACATGTGCAGTTAGCAATTAATCAGAAAATCGACACTTGTGCCTTTTCTTCCCTTGCATTTCACTGCCATACGTTTGTATAACTGTATATTAAAGAAATTGAAAGTTACTATTATATAGAAACTAAGAAAAGTTTATAAACAACCCTTTCTCTCCCCCCTTCCCCTTGCAGATGTGATCAAATTATATACTTCTAAGCTGTATATACAATTATGTGTATTCTAGAATAGAAATTAAAGTTAAAATCAATTTGCACAAATTAATTGAAACATTACTTTGCTATAGTTTCATTCAATGATAATAAATTCTCTAAAAATAAAATAGTTCATTCACGTCATTTCCTTTACGTCTGTATATATAACGACTTTCAATCATCTACTATACAGAAAACGAACGAAGAAGCAGAATGAAATGCAATCAAAACACGCTATTTTGTTAGTCATAGACACTGATGAAACGTAAAAGGTGACAAGCCAATATAATAATAATAATATTATTATTATTTATGATTCAGCTAATTCTCTACTGTCCTCATCCCATTCAGCAAAGCCTCTCGTTTTATCTTGTTTGACCTTCTTTTCCACGTCTTGCTCTCCCTCGACATGTTCTTCTTCAATAATCATAACTGATTCCTGTGATTCGCCTACACTATTACTTTGTTCGCTGCATTGCTCATCATACTCCACTATTTCTGTCTGTTCTTCCACATATTGTATAACTTCCTCTACCTGATCAGAACTGCATTCCTCTAATATTTCAGACTGTTCAACTTGCATTTCCTCCTCCAACACTTTTTCTTCAACTTCCTCAACCACTTCCTCTACTATTTCTTCAGTCTCTTCAGTAAGTTCTCCCGACTGATAATTCTCGTACGATTGCCGTTCCACTTCTTCGTTTTCGCGAATGTAAACGATCATACCATCCTCCGTACCTTGCATCACGATCTGCTCATTATTGGTAATGTTTAACTGCTGTGGTTGTTGCTGTTGCTCATTTTCCTGTTGCTGATAGTTTTCATTATCGATTAGCATAATCATGTGCTGACCATCGAGCTCGTGCGTATTGTATGTCATTTCATGTGAAATATTATTTAACTGCATACCCGGTACGACATACTCCGACACGTTCGAAGACACTTCTTGAGATTCCGATGGAACGCTATCTCCAACACCTAGGGAAGCCGCTATACCACTAGCAACGTGACTCAATGCTTCTGCTTCTGAAGAAGGTTCTAGCGTAAGCGGTGGCATAGATACTGCCGTTTCGCAATCCCGAAGATCCTTATGCACGCAATCAAGATGAACTTGTAAGTTCGTAGCGCGTACAAAAACTTTACCACAATGAGGACAACGGTGACCCTTCTCTTTTCCATCAGGTAGATTTCCATGACCTGTGTTAATTTCGTGAGTCGTCAACTCAGTGACGTCTTTGAAAGTTTGTGAACACTGCATACATTGAATCTCCTCGACTGTCGACGAATGTTGACGCGATGTCGGTCGATGATTATGATTGATCTGATGTCTAACCAAAAGTGTCTCCGAAAGTGCTACATAAGAACATGCTTGACACTTTGGAAAACACATACTTTTTGGAGGAGGTACATTGTGTTTCGTGTACAGATGATACATCAAAATGTTTCGTTTTGTAGCTTTATAGCCACAGTGCTCACAAACTCGAGGATCGAACTTCTCTTCATGTACATCCTGCATATGTCTCCTATACATATAGTAATTTGTATATTCCTCATCTAAATCACACTTATTACATTTCCAAGGTCCAGTCTCACCACCATCTACACTTCCGTTACTTTTTGACTCGGTTTCCTCGCTATTATTACTTGACATCAAGTGATCAGATTTCAAAACTACATATGAAACTTTTGTTTTGCAGGCTGAGTTACTGTCCGAAGATTTTGCTTCTTTCTGCATAATTTTCAAACGTATATTCTTGTTATTTTTTACTAAATGAGGATATTTCTTCAGTACTTCTCGAATGATTTTTGCATGATTGTTAATGGAATCTTCTGAGTTCGTTCTATAAGATGATTTGCCCTTTTCCATATTCTCTTTTTCTTCGAGGTCAAATCGCACTCTCTTGGATGGCGAAGGTTGTGTGTCTTGACCCCTTTGAAAACATCTACTCACAGACCAATCGTCATCGGAATTCATTTCTTTCAGACTTTTCTCGTTTGTATGACCTTCGTCTTCTTCATCTTCAGTCGTGTCATTTTTACTGTCTCTATCTGGGGAACATTTACCACTAGGCGAACTGTCTCTTTTATATTTGTCTGGCGCTTGAACGATAGGTTTTGTATTATACGTAATATCGTCGAACGACGAAAATACGCCAAGTGCAAACTCTTCAGCTTCAGGGAGATCAAATCGGGAAGGTCCAGGAGTCACCTCTGTAGGCCTATTTGTCGATGGCATCCCATGGAATGTTCTCATTTCATAATTAAGTGATGGCATAGTTTGTGGTGTATCTAATTTTCTTTTCCAAATAGGAAGCCTAAAAAAGAAAAATAAAAAAAACATTTTTTAGATATGTAACTTATATATATCAATAACAAATTATTTTATACCGTTGGAATTCAGAGTGATTATTTTTGCTAATTTATGTCATTTGCATGTAACCTTTTATTAGAGGAAAAGTTTATTCTATATAAATGTTATATGTACTCAATCTTTAATTTACATGAAAAGTTATATACTTACTTTCTGCCTGGTAATGGCTGACTTGAAAGTCCTGAAGACGAAGTGGATGTTGTTATTGGTTTTGTGCTAGATGTTGAAGGTTTTGAAACTGCTATTACTGGCCGTGTATTGCACTTCATTGATTGTTCATTTTGCAAAGAAGCAGTGTTAAATTGTGCATCAAGTAATTTAGTTAAAACAGCCATGTTCATTTTCTGTGCCGTACGATACAAAGCATGTTGTTCAGAAGTCCAATACTCTAATTGGCCAGTGTACATAAAACTAGAAAATATAATATATAAGTATATTATGAATATATCATTCTTTAAACATTATAAAAATATTAGAAATATAACTACTATATAGACAGTGTTAAAATTCACCTTATAATTGACTTGACACATTCATATGGCATATCTGGTGGCATAATGATTATACCATCAAAATTTTCATCCTTTTCTTTTTGCTCACGTTCAAGTTGCATAAAATAATCTGTGCATGTTGTAATAACTAAACGGTGAGCCTAAAATATCAATAAGAAATTTAGTAATTATAGTAAATATACTAAAATAGTGAAGCACATTTAATTAATATAATTTATAATTTTT